AATGATTTTCACGTGCTGACATTTGTAAAATTTACAAAAATCTGTGCCTCGTGATTTCGCAGAGATCGACTAAAATTTCCCGCCATTACAGTGCATTTCTTTATTGATAGAATTTACTTTAAAGATGAAAAAAATACAAAGAAAATATTTCATATAAAGTGATCTTCTATCATTGATTAATGTTTTCATCTCAAAACCTTCTATATTTTCAGCGAGTGCAAGAGAGTATATTTGATATAAAAACATGAACAAATCGATCTTTTCCATATTCAAAATTGTCGAGGGACGCTAAAATCGTACCACGTGACCTACAAAAATTTGCACACAGCACCTAAGGCTGTCGCCCCTCCTCTGACTTTAAGCATAACCCGCGCTGATATCAACTTTCTAAGTTCTGAGTAAAATTCAACATACATGTAGGACTCTGCAACGTAAAATATACGAAAGTTGTTTTTTTTACGTACGATACACGGAGAGTGCCATTCCCTAAATACATACGGGTCCACAAACTATTATAATGTAAGGGTGAATGAGGATCTCATTTGAGGAACAAAGTAAAGATGCATGCTGAAGGAAGAATAATTTCCACACGAAGAACATCAAAAAGGACGATCTCTCAATTAGTATGCAACTGTAACTAATACATCCATAGACATTAACACTAGTTAATGCTTTATATACTGACATTGAAACAAATACACTGCTCATATAAAATTTGGCATTACTTTCCCGGGAAAAAGAATACGTTTCCACAATTAAAGTCTACGCTTCCGGAAATAAATACCTTACTTTTCCGAGAAAATAGTACAATTCCGGTATGTTCAGGCAAAAGTAGTAATATCTTTTAAAGTCAAATCCTAAGGAAAGGATGCACACAAGAGCTACATTGTAACTGTACACATTCTGGTATGTTGTGTGGTTGAGTTGCTGTCTCTTTTACGTCTTTATCACATCTTCTCTTCGTATATGTACGCGACTTTGATATCGTCATGCATGGACACAATACTTCACTACATTTCCATTTTCGTATTTTGACATGATTAATATACAAATAAGAAGATGTGGTATAATTGACAAATTCGAGTATTTATACTACATAACATAGGTGATGTCATGATCACAAAACTTCCAATAATTTTGACATTGATCATTAGTTATATTTTACTATTTTGTAAATTTGAGTTATTGACAAACAATCGCAGGTCTTTATTTGTAGCACTTTCCTTCGTTCACGTTTCCGCAAAAAGAAAAAGAGTTTTCTTCTCGCACTTTAACAGCCCTTTCCCGCAATTATTTTCAAGATAATTTCAAATAACACATTATGAAATCCCGACCAATGAAATTTATTTGAATATTAAACATGGCCTACGAGAGCACCTAGATTAAACTTGGGAAGTTAGAATAGCCAATTATATTTTTTTATTTAGTAATTACCGCTAAAATATGCATTACCGCTAAAATATGCCTTACACAATTATATGACAGAAACATTTTATCCGACGTGCTTTACAATGTTTAAGTTACCATTTGGTCTTAAAAACGTTTTTGAATGCCGCAAATATAAAAATAAGTGTTTTTTTTTAAATATTCCTTTTGGGCCAGGGCCGACCGTGCGAGGGCTTAATATCCAGTCCAGTTCGTCAAATGTTCATTTCTTGCAAGAATTATTTTACATGCGGACATAACGATAATCCCTTCGTAAACCCACTTCAAATTTCATTTGTCGTTTGCTGCTTTTACACAAATAACACACATTTTAAACCTGTAACCGGTATTACAATTTTACACAGGTTTAAAAGTTCATTGAGCTGTTACTTTAATTACAAGTTTTAGCAAGACGAAACTGTTTACTAAATGAATTCAACAAATGTCAAGCTCATCTAGATCAATTTTATTATTTAACAAAAAAATGTTTTTAATTACAAGCTATTTTAAATGTCGGTATAAATGTTAATGTTTTTTTCTTACCGAAAATATAATATGCATCTATTAAAACTTATTGTCTATTGATTAAAAAAACATCTTTCACTTCTAGGTTTGTAATGAGCACAATTACGACATTCTTATTATCTTTCCGGTTTTTATTTCTTCGCAGATATATTTAAAAGACCATACCTTACTTACATGCCACGAGTTTTCATATTAGTAAGCAATATTGAAAACGAATAATTTGATATAAAGAGCTATTTTATTTTTAACAGATTAACACTTTGTACTTTTTAAATCGTGCACCAATATTTATAAATTTAGTTATATATCTATTGTTCATTCGTTTATCTTAATTGTGAAGCATGTTTATATATATATTCAGATTCAATTTTTTTTATTAAAGTCTCACCACTTGTATAACATTATACATTCCAATATACATATAAAACATTACGTATAACATAAATATTGGAAAACATATATAAAACTAACCACCAGTAAAATATCTTAAATCGATAACGCTCGGAGCGGATTAATGATAGATACACGAGGATGCTGTTCTGCTTGAGTGATTTACCTTACAAAAAGGCGGACACTTTAAAGTTTAAAAGGACTTAACATCAGTTTGATTCCGTTTAACGGGGGCATGGCTAATTAGTTTGACGCAGTTTAACCACATCTCAAATTAACTTGAATGACCGCAAGGGAAACTATTTGACTGGTATTAAAATGATTTGATATGGATTGAAATGCATTAAAAATAATTTTTAATTTTTGTCAATCTTTATTCAATTTTCATTAATCTTTTTTAAATGCCGTTAATGCGTTTTTGTCCGTTCAAGCTTAATTCGAGTTACTAGTGCTGTCCCAAATCAGGGGCTGTAATTCAGTGGTTGTCGTTTTTGTCGTATATCATATTTGTTTTTCGTTTTGTACATAAATCAGGCAGTTAGTTTTCTCGTTTGAATTGTTTTGCATTTGTCATTTCTGCGTCTTTTATAGCTTATACTATGCGGTATGGGTTTGGCTCATTATTGAAGGCCGTACGGCGACCTATAATTGTTAACTTCTTTGTCGTTTGGTCTCTGGTAGAGAGTTGTCTCGTTGGCAATCATACTTTATTTTCTTATTATTATAAGTTCCCAAGACTGGGAAAATGAAAAACAAAATCCGCAAACAATTCCATAAAAACAGATTCACAACTTCAACATATGTGCAATCTTCCTGGAAAGTTTAAGGGATCTTGGTTGAAATCTTTATGAGGAATTGATTACACAATTTAGGTACCTTCTTTCACAATTTGGCTGGAAAATGACTCATTTTCATGTTGTACTGGTATACCACTGTCCAAGATAAGGGGGTTGTTTAACCCCGCCAAATTATGTATGTGCCAGTCCCAAGTCAGGAGCCTTTAATTCAATTAGTGGTTGTCGTTTAAAGTTTTAATTTACCAAAAAGAAAATCAATGTTAGTACAAAAAAAAAAAACAATATTAAAAGATCTTACTACGGTTTTAAATTGATATTCTTTAAGAAGTTTATTCAAATTAAATGATCAATGATTTACATGGACCGTATTTCTATATACATAATTTCAAGCAAGAACATAGCTACTATTGTATACTGATTTATAAAACTATACATATACAAAGCCTATTACAAGCTATATTGCAATATGTGAAACAGTTGAATATCTGCTGTACACGATTGCAAAATCCATTGTATTACAATGGCAATGGAAAACCCTGACAAAAATCAGCTGTAGACTAAAACAATTACTTTTACAGCAGCTCGGACCACAGATTCTATTGTAGCTGGCGTACCGATGGCCGGTATAAGGGTGTGATATTTGTTTTGGATTTCCAAATCATACTGAAGCAAATGTGTTTATAATTACATAAACAAAAAACCCCGGAAGCCATACCAGAAAAACATATTATAGAAAAGAAATTATATAGAAGTTTGGTCGCGGATTTGAAAGTCTTTGGAAAAAAATAAAACCTCAAATGGCACCGTCAGTATTCAGTACACGTATTTATGTAACGAAATATTGTTATCTTCAATAGTACCATCGTGAACCTCTTAATCTTGTGTATGAAGTATATGAAGTATATCACGCTCAAATTAAGTCGATATTGTGCTCTTTTAAATTGGTGTTTCAGAGTTAAGGTATTGTGAGTCAAGTGTTCTGTCTGAATGATTTAACTTATATCGCTGTATAGTTTACCTGAATTTGTATTGCTCTATGTTTTCTATGAAATGTTCACTTTTCCAATACGTTCTTTATTAGAACTCGAAAATTATCATCATATTTAAGAATATAGTGATAGGTCTCTATATAAACACATTATTTAAAGCATGTACATAGTTACTATTGTATACGGGTATTTAAAATTACTTATATTCTATTCAAACAAAATTATAGAAGGTCAAATAACTTATCAAGTCGATAATCTGTCGTGTACTTTGTTGAAAAATAAATATTACTGCATTGATTACATGGTGGTTGCAAAAACAAAACTCATATTGATATCCTATATCATTTTCAGTACATTGAATATGATAAAATAAGATAAAAATATAGAGAGACAGTCATTCTAAATTACAATTTCAAACCAATTTCAACATGAGGAAAGCGAATGTCACTCAAAACTCTAGAGTCGATAACCGATAAACAATTGTCAATACTTGTGCGTTTGTCGGACAGTCCTTTATCATATTATGATAGATTTTTAGTTTGTTGGCCTTTTCATTCTCGTGCTGTTTTCTTTTACTTTTAATGGACTTTAATGAATATAATTAATTTGGACAAACTGCATGATAACGTAGAAAGACCATGCTTAAAAGAATTATCTATGATGAGTTTGTTTTCTGCCTGTGCATGGAGAAGTTTTAGATCAAAGGAGAAGATAATGAACTGAAGGTCCAAGCAACCAGCATAGCGAAACAGAGCCAACATTAGATATTGGTTTTCCCTTCTCAGGTTAAATGATGGCCGACTTCTTATATTCTTCAAGTGATCAATATTCACTCGGTTAGTTTGGCATTTGCTTTCTATTGATAATTTCTTACCTGTCGAATAATATATTATATAGATGACAAAAACACGGGTGTGGTTCTGTAACTGTAACACTGCTGGTGGATATCCTATTGTATCTGCCTCAGTCGGTTCTTTAATCGTCTACCTTTCATTTTTTCGATGACGGGTCATTTCTGTAATTATAATTCTTTTTAAAGAAAAAATCCATGAATTCGTCACAGCCGCATTGTAATTAATATCATTTCATTGATTACATATTGATTGTAAATACAATACTCAAACTAACGATCTATAGCATTTTCAGTGCATTGAAAAGGATGAAAAGGATAAAACATGATGAAAATATTTCTTACTTTAGAAGGATAGAGATGTATTAAAACATTCTAAATTACAATTCAAAACCATTCTAACATTACAAAAGCGGTGTCCATTAAACTACCAGAGACGATAACCGTTATTCAATTGACAATCCAATTGACAATTCTTTTTGCGTTTGTCTGACATTCCTTATTTTTCATTCTCATTATATGTAACTTTTTATTTTAAACGAATATAATTACTTTGGACAAACTGTACGAGAATGTAGGAGAGGCCATGCTTAATGGAAAGTTTTCTATCTATACATGACGCAATATGGGTAAAAGGCGAAGATAACGAACTTTGGGTACCAGACTCGAGCATAGAGAAACATAGCAACATTAGATATTGGTTTTCCTTCTCGGGTTAAATGATAGCCGACCTCTCCATATTTTCAAGTTATTAATATTCAGTCTGTTGGTTTTGTATTCGCTGACTTTTGATAATAACTTTCCTGTCGAAAAATATATTATATATATGACAGAAACACGGTTTGGTTCTGTTACTGTAACACTGCTGCCGGGTATCCTAATTTATCTGCAGCAGTCGGGTCTTATTAACGAATGAATAAATTGATTTGTCACAGCTACACTGTAATAAATAGTATTGCATTGATTACTGACACGTTGATTGTAAATACAATACACAAATTAACGGCATATTTCATGTTCAGTGCATTGAATAAGATAAGATAAGGATTAGGATATTCTATATTTAAGAGAGAAATGAAGCGAATTTCAGCATGACAAAAGTGGATGTGCCTCAAAAAACCAGAGGCCATAACCGATATACAATTGAAAATACTTTTTGCGTTTGTCTGACAGACCTTTTGATAGATTTTCGGTTCGTTTGACTTTTTATTCCCATGTTATATTTCCCTATTTTTTTATATAATTACATTGGCCTTACTGTATACGGATGTAGGAAGGATCGTGCATAAAGGAAATGTTTCTACCTGAACATGAAGAAGTTTGGCTCAAAAGAGAAATTAATAAACTGATGGTACTAGCAACGAGAATAGAGGAGCAGAGAAAAAAATAGATATTAATTTTCCTTCTCAGGCTAAAGCTAAATGATGGCCGACCTCTTATATTTTACAAGTTATCAGTATCCGCCCAGTCTATTGATAATTTCTTAACTGTTGAATAATATATTATATAGATGGTAGTGTTATGTAATTGCTGCGCTGCCGGTGGGTATCCTATTGTATCATCCGTACCGATAGCCGATAATAGGGTGTAATGAATTCTATTACAAAATCAAATTGAATTATTCAATAATCATTACCATTAACTATAAAAACAACTAAAGCAATATCAGAAGGACATATTAAAGAAAAAAAAATATATTGTAGTATGACAATCTTTCTTACATAAGTAAATGGTCGGATAGCAAGTCAGTATCCAATACACAGTATTTATGTAACGAAATATTGTAATTTTCAATACATATAGTACCATCGCGAACTTTTTTATCGTCAATATGGAGTACATGAAGTAAAATCTTTTAAATCGGTGTTTCACCGTCAATGGCTATTTCTAAATGATTTCTTATTTTTATCAAAATATATTTTATCAAAGTTGGTATCGCTGAATATTTTCTATGAAATGTTCAATTTTCTAATACGCTTTATTCGTCATTTTTAGACATTTTCTTTTCTTTTGATTTGTATGTTGTCCTTTAGGTTTTTCATCGTCTGCCTTTCGATTTTTTCAATGACGCCTAAACCATCGAATCCTTTTTTGTATTGGATTATTAAACTAACCTTATTTTACGAAAATAGATCCGTCACAGCTGCACTGCTGTGTCAAAATATCCTTATTATTCTGAGTGTTTAGAACATTCAAGACTAGAAAATTATGATATTCTTTTGAGAAAAGTACTATTATAGATCTATATATATATACACACATTTAAAGTATTTTTATGATTTCTATAGTATACGGGTATTTAAAATTACTTAATCTTGTTCAAACAAAATTGTTGAAGGTTAAATAAATTATCAAGTCGATGCATGCATGCACTGTTGTGCACTATCATAAAAAATAAATAGCATTTCATTGATTACGTATTGATTGTAAATACAATTAGCATTTTAAATTAAAAACAAGACTTAATCATTTTAAATTACAATTTCAAACCGATTCCAACATGGATCTTAATACATCAGAGACGATAACCAATATATAATTGAAAATACTTTTTTCGTTTGTCTGACAGATTATAGATTTTCGGTTCATTGGTCTTTCATTCTCATGTCATGTGCCTTTTATTTTTAATGAACATATATACTTTTGATGAACTGTGTTAGGATGTAGAAAGGGCCATACGTAAAGTAAATGTGTCTACCTAGACATGAAGCAGTATAGCTCAAAGGAGAAGATAATAAACTGTGGGTACCAGCAACGAGCATAGAGGAACAAGGACAAATTAGACAGTGTCTCCTTCTCAGGCTAAATTATGGTCGACCTCTAATATTTTTCAAGTTATCAATATTCACTATAAAATCTATTGATAATGTCTTACCTGTCGAATAATACGTTATACAGATGACAGTAAAACAGAAGTAGTTTTGAAACTGTTGCACTGCTCTTAAGTTTTCCTTGTTAAATGTGTGTCATTGTTTATTAAATCGTATTTTTCTTATGATCATGATGTAGTCCGTTTATCTTCATCTTTTAGTTTTGATTTCCCGTTAAAATTGTGTCCTTTTTAAAAATAATGTATAGCCCTAAACAGGATTTGAAACTAATTAGGATTTTTTTTATAAATAAAAAAATCATTCTATAGTAAATGAAAACAATACTTCCTATACATATCGATTTTTCGAAGTAACATTTTAGAAACAACCTGAGCTTATATTAATCTGTCTCCTTGTTAAGTCGAATATAATATGCAAAACTAAATTAAAGCTGCATACTCCATTACATAATAAAGATATTGTAAATAACAACAAAGTTTGATTATGAATAGGATTTAAGAAAAATATACTATTATTAAAACGAAATGCTAGTAAGTATAGTGTATCAGTGGTTAGAATGTAAACGTTTTAGATCTAACGATGAAATTTTGTACCGAAAAAAATAAACAATTTGTTTTTAATTTCCCACAAATTATGATAATGATCATCATCATTAAATTTTTATTCAGGAAGATTTTGAAAATTTAGCAAGGCGAAAATGTTCCATCGAATAAAATTATGTTTCTTGTCAATTTGTCTTGAAAAATTATATAGGACGGTTTGGATGGCGTCTAAAGAAGGGGTAGAATAATGGCATCCAAACAAATAATGAATAGAGAAAATTAGCCACTAAAAATAAAGAATAGAGAAAAATTGTGCAACAGTTTAAAGAATAACAGTGGAAAATAAAGGAATTGGGATCTAAACTGCTAACAGAAATTAAAGATATACACAATAAAGACAGATAAATTTAATAGTAAAATAGTTTTCATGAGGATTTACAGAATACGTGTTATTATAAAAATAAAGAAATGGTCCAAAAAAATTGAAGAGCACAGAAACGAAGGACCCCATCCGGACCCTCATAGATGAATACTCATTCATTGATCAGTATCGAGTATCGCTCCCATATATAAATACCACGATCAATTCATAGTGAAAAAGTTGAACCTGATTTGCAGTTAAACTTATTCAGACATCCAATGAAAAAAAAAGTTGGTTGTCAAGTGTATCAACAATGCCAGTTTAACGTATTATTACTTTTACAAATTTAAAACCTTGTTCAATAAAGCGTTTAGTTTATATCTTGAACGTTTGTCTACTTTCGGTTTTGGTTTGTTTAGTTTATGCATTGCTATGGGAATTTACAATATTTAGAATCAGGAACGGACAGGTTATAACACATCTTTCTAAATTATTAACATGAATTTCATTAGCAATCAAAGCCGGGCTTCAGAGTAATTGTAAAACTACCTTCTCTAGGGGCGGCGAAAATCAGATGTGGATACTAAAAAATTCGAAAGATCTGTTAGAGTACATAAATTCTTAGTTTCTTTGCTCTTGTAATAGTATTAAATCATTTGACTAATCTACCCTTTGGACAAGTATTCCCCATTCCAATCTAAAGACTAATTGAAGGAATTGGTCCTGCTTTGTTTCACAAAAAAGAATGGCCAACGTAGATACAAATATCTAGTCTTAAAAAAATCAAACAATTCTCTGAAACTGACACGATTGCGTTTGGAGGACGTGTTTTTCATCACACAATCGGCATTCCAATGGAAACCAACTGTACTCAACTTTTTGCCGAATTATTCCTTATTCATATGAAAATGATTTTATATAGGAGCCTCTTAGGAAGAATGAAAAGAAGCTAGCATTATCCCTTAACTTCACGTTTTGCTATATAGATGATGTCCTCTTACTAAAGAGTTCAAAGCTTGGTGACAATGTTGAACGACGCATCTATCCCATATCGAACTGGAAATAAAGGATACAACAGATACAGTTTAGTCTGTCTCATATCTTGACTTACATCTGAAAATTGACAGTGAGGGTCGGTTGAGAACAAAACTTTACAACACAAGAGATGATTTAAGCTTCCCAACTGTGAACTTTCCTTGGCTATGTTGCAACATTTCAACAGCGGCTGCTTATGGAGTATATATCTCCCAGTTGATACGAGATTCCAGAGCTTGCATTTCCTATGATAATTTTCCTGATAGAGGGTTGCTGCTTACAAGGACGATAATGGACCAAATGTTCCAAGTGAAGTTAAAATCATCCCTCGAAAAATCATCATCGGGTATGTACTTGCATGAGCAGCAGCACGGGTGCCACATGTGGAGCAGGATTTGCTTACCCTTCCAAAGTACATGAGATCACGCCGGTTTTTGGTGGGTGTTCGTGTTGCTCATCCTTTAGTTTTTTATGTTGTGTTTATGTACTGTTGTTTATCTTTACGTCTTTTTTTTTCGTTTTTTGCCATGGCATTGTCAGTTTGTTTTCGACTTATGTGTTTGTATGTCCCTATCTTTCGCCTCTCTTTTATGGTTAGCAATCGCCCTAATATTCCGATCAGAATTTGTTAAGTTTAGGGCCACCATTCAAGCATTTTACAATATAGGGTTTAGGTATTCTACAAACTCATAGGAAAAAGATATTTGGTATCATACAAAGCAAAAGTAATAGTCCAATACTAGCAACCAGTAAATAAAAAACTGATGCGCTGTAAGAAGAGGGGTCGCTTAATGTATTGTCAAGACGTTCAGAAGAAAAATGAAGGTAATAAAAAAATGTGTTTTTGATTCTGAATAAGAATGTAGCTGCGTACCTAAATAATGTTGCAAGGAGCATTTTGATATATAATTCCAACTTGAACGTACACACCAGGTGAAAGATGCATTGCACTGGTTGCCACACGCAAAAACGGTCTATGCAACACGTCACACACAGCGATAGTGGGTGTCAGAGGCCTAATCTTTAAGTACATGATTTGAATAAACAGTTCATCTACAAATATCCAGCAGTTAACTCTGGTTCGATACCCAGGTGTCACTACACCAAGTACGTGACATGTTTTTTTATTGCATCAGTGGGATATTGGCAAGAGAATCGGCAATTGATTAAAACATTGATGATTTGCAACAGCATATTAGTACATTGGAGGAAGAGTTTAAGCAAACTAATAGAGGTAAGTTGAATTAGTACAAACTATACGGCTATTAACGAACTGAACATACCAACTCGCACCTATTGAAGTCAAAGAAACATTATCAAATTATCATTTCTTAGATGCATAGCACAATAGCGAGATAGGGATAAAGATTAAACAGTCCAGACCACAAAACATAAAGCAAATAATATGCTTAGCTGTCACGCTTCAGGCGTTCTATAGAGCGATAAAAGAGAAGAATTTGGAAAACCTCAAATGCAGGCTATATACTAGTACACAAGAGATATATAAGGACAATAGTTTTTAAGAAACGATGGATTCGTTCACTAAGCAATTAGAATCTCTTCATGTGGAGTTCAATTTTTCAGTGTGGGCAAAGGAATACCATTGCGGTGGACATTTTAGACGAAAGTGCAGGCTACGAAAGCAGGGCAGCAATGGGAACGGTCGGCAGAGGAACTCCGGGAATGGCTCCTCAAATCAAGTACATTCTCAAACAAAAATACAGCAGTCAAAATCAACAAAAAAATATGTCCAAAATAACTCAATGAAGAAGCAGGGGCATATGTAGACGTAGACATAGTGAGTTAAAATACTAAATTTCCCCGTAGACACAGGAGCCACTTTCACTCTTATATCACATGAACTATACTATAGTATTGGTTGAGAAAAAGGATGGAACTACACACTTTTGCATAGATTATCGCAAGGTTAACGATTTAACAGTAAAAGATGCACATCCTTTACCCTGCATCGATGATTCATCAGATCAACTGTCTCGAAATAAATGGTTCTCTACTTTAGATCTTTGTTCAGGGTACTGGCAAGTGGAAGTGGAAGAGAAAGATTGCCCAAAATTTGCCACTATTCAAATTTCAACAAATTATATTTTATTTGGCCTGCGTACCAGGAACCTTCGAATAATGATATTGGTGGGACAACAATGGAGAATATGTTTAGTTTATCTGATGTAATTGTAGTTGCAAAGTTCTTTAATAAGATGCTTCAGAATCTTCGTTCAATTCTTAATCAGCTGAAGGCGGCTGTAGTGCTAACAAATCAATTTTCCATATAATTTCTATTTCTAAGATACATAACTTGCATAAAAAAAGTTGGTTGAGGCTGATTATCCAATCAAAATAGTCGTCATACTGATATGACACTATCATAAAGATCCTATGAAACTAATTGAAGCAGAAAACTTAACATTGAAAATTTCAAATTAATTCAAAGTCACTGGACCATGTCCTAAGGGGCCTCAAATAGTAGT